AGGAGAAGGAGACAACAGTCAACAGACATAGACACAGCATTAGGTCATGATTCAAAAATGACCACACGGTAAAGAGACAACTTAGTAATAGCTAGGTCACTGTGGTTTGTCCTGATTATTAACAGCTCATGTGGATGGACAACTTGACAAACGGAATCCAGAATCCCTTCTGCAAGCTGGACTTAACACTTGCCACCTGCCCTTTAACAGGCAACCAGCATGCGCAGCAGCTGTTCAGCCAACTAAAAGGGGAACAAAGGGTGACCTGGTGCTACAGGTGTTGACACAGGCTAAACTCACATGTCCCTGCTTAAATGAGAACAAAGAAGCTTTGACAAACGCATATGCAGCTAGGTGATCAGACAAAGAGTGAAGAGTGATATCCTCCTTCCAGGGAACAGGTCTGTTATCAAGGGCATTGAGCTGCAGCTGTCTCTGTTCACTTAGAGGAGGACACACTTGCGTTCCACTGTCCTTGTGTCTTCACACCCCCTCCTTGTGTTCCACTGTCCTTGTGTCTTCACACCCCCTCCTTGTGTTCCACTGTCCTTGTGTTCACACCCCCTCCTTGTGTTCCACTGTCCTTGTGTTCACACCCCCTCCTTGTGTTCCACTGTCCTTGTGTTCACACCCCCTCCTTGTGTTCCACTGTCCTTGTGTTCACACCCCCTCCTTGTGTTCCACTGTCCTTGTATCTTCACACCCCCTCCTTGTGTTCCACTGTCCTTGTGTCTTCACACCCCCTCCTTGTGTTCCATTCATTTTATCTCCCCTAACTCTAAGCATTTTATCACAACCTTATCTTTCTTAAGAAAATAGCCAAAAGCATGCCAACAAAACCTGGGGAAGAGCTGGACCATTTGTAACTTGACAACACACACACATCCACAATTTCTACCTGTGCCTCCATGCTTTCAGTGGCCCTTCTGGTTGCTTCTCAAAGCATAACTCACTCTTTGGCATACACGAGCAAAGTCATCCCTCTGCCCAAGGTCTCAGTGCAACCCAGTCTTTCCAAGATTAACAACTGACAGCTCAAAATGCTGTCAAAGCTGAAGTAACAAAGTACAACCCCCTTTTGATTTAAGGCATTGACAATTCTCAGAATAAATATAGGAGATGAGGGTGACATTTCAAAAATCTAAAAGCCCAAAGCTATTATTTTAGTATGAACCAAATCTTTGACTATGGTGAAAGTTTTGCTCTGTTTCTGTCATGGGCAAATACTAAAAAGAGCCCTCTAATTATCCAAGCAAATGAATTTGGATAGCAGAAGTCTATGTAGCCTCTGAAAATTCACAAATGCCTTCATGTTGGTTCTCAGAGTAAATGTTTCCTGAGTACAAATTATATCAGAGCTTGGGCAATTTTCTTAAACACTAATAAGTGAGTTTTAGGGGGACCTTCCCCCTCCTTTTTGTGTCTAGAAAAAAAAGCTGTCACTTCATGTCAACATGTCTGATTATGCAAAGAAGAAATGATAATATCTCAAAAAATGTCAGCAACTCTATGGGCAAGGAAATGAATTTTACAAACACTCAGACAGACACAGACACACAGACACACACACAGAGACACACACAAAGACACACACACAGAGAGACACACACACACACACAGACACACAGACACACATACAGACACAGACACACACACACACAGACACACACACACACACACCCCACACACATACACATAGACACACACACACACAGAGACACACATACAGACACAGACACACACACACACACACACCCCCCACACACATACACACACACACACACACATACAGACACACACACACACACACACACACACACACACACACACACCACTGTCAACAACATCAGGGAGAAACTAAGGAAGGTAACCTGCTGAGGAAGAAACTGCTTGACACACTCTAGGATGACAGCAAAGCTAAAGGATCAGATGTTACGTTGCAGAGACAGGACACACTGCCTCTGCTGCTTAGCAAGAAAAAAAGACAAGATGGCTTCCAGGGGTCCATCTCCAGGAGGAGTGCGAGTTTGGTAGGGAGACATACCCTTTTGTTCTTGTCACACTTTTAGCAGACTGTGCTCTTAGGTTTAATGTTTTGTCTACATATACTAGATCTTGGGAATATAGGAATAAGACCCATTTTTTCTATTAGAGAATATATAATGTCGGGAATGCCCTGTTCCTCAGGAGGGCCAACACTCAAGAAAAATTCCATTTTATGCAGCTTAGTTACTGTCTATGCCCTTGGGGAAAGATGTCAGCATCTTGATTCCTGTCCTTTAGTATGTAGAATGTGGGGAGTGAAGTACGTATTTCATCAAAAGCATTGTACTGAAACTATAATTCTTATAAATATTAGTGTTCTAAAGGAAATAGATTTAGGACACGTTCTGTGGGCCTTTTCCATGTACTACTATAGTGCTTTCAGGTTTGACTCTCTCTCTCTCTCTCTCTCTCTGTCTCTCTCCCTCCCTCCCTCCCTCCCTTCCTCCCTTCCCCTCTCTCCCTCCCCCTCTCTGTCTCTCTGTCTCTGTCACACACACTTAGGTTTGTGTATGTGTATGTTTGTGTATATCCCAAACATGTCAGAAGCTGCTGCCTAATAATAATTACAATTAAAAGTAATTAGAGTGTGTTAAAATGTAAGTTATGCTTTGAATGTTTAAAAGAGAATTTGGGACTGATGCAGGCACACTAAATACAACAGCAACCAGGACACGGGAATACATGAGAAGTACAGCGGTCAGTGCTGAGTTGGGGCTCCCCATGCCCGTGGGGCAGTGGGACACTGTGCAGCTGTCCTTCAGTTCTGGACTCTCTAGTGTAGGAAAGGTGTCGCTCTGTTTTCCCAGGACCTACCTGTCCTATGTAGACTAAAACCATGAAAAACAGTGTTTGCTAGCTGAAGCCTCACAGGGGCAGACCTTTAAAGAAAGGAACAAGTTCTAACTCTGAGCAGACATAATAAATTGAGATTTGTTGGCCTAAGAATTGGATAACAGCAGCCAAGAAAAAGCCCCCCCCCCCCCCCCGCCATGGGCAGGCATAATAATGAGGCTCTTTAATTCCTCCTCCAGTTAAATTAGTCATTGACTTACTTTAGTCAGTCCACATTCAGTACAAATTTAGGCTGTGTATGGATACAAATCCCCAAATCACCCATGCAGTGTAATTTACTGGCACATGTAATATCCAAGCAGGCATCTTTCTACGAGTGTGCATGTGTGCACACGTGCGTTTGTATTTGCTTTCCTCCCCAGGGTAGCATGTCATGTAACATAACTTCCTGTCAAGAAATAGTCTTGCATTCCCACTTTCACACTACACAGCATGGCCGAACCATGAAACATTCTACAAGTCACTTACTGCAAGAATGTGAGCTGTTTGCAAGTTTGCATTCCTGTATTTTAGTTAATGCTAAGTTGGACACACCCCCATCTGAGCTGTTTTGAAACCACTCCCATTTTTAGCTGTACCAGATGCTTCAATACATTTCACTCTGAGACGACGTCCTCATCCTCTCCTCCCCTCTGTCAGCTTCTTCTCTGGTCTTGTGAGACAAGGTGCTTCGTCCCACTGTTGGGTTCTGCTTTAGGTTTTACTTGTAGGCTTCCCAACACCACACACCACAGCAGAGCTCAGGGCCAGTAGACACCCCTCTTCTCAGGCTGGCAGAGGGGACAGAGACCCAGGGCACCAAGCAGCATAGGCACAGGAGCCGGTCTGGAGCCAGTGCTCTCTGTCAGTCTTGACAGAGGGCTTCTCTTTAAAACAGCAGCAGCAAAACAGACGTGTCAAAGATTCCCTTAATTCTGGTGACTGCCTTGTGTTTTTTTTTTTTTTTTTTTTAAAGTGTCATCATGGTACTTATTGCTCAGCTTTTCCATGTTTACTGCTGCTCACTCTTTTATATGGAATTTTACTGCCATAATTCTTAGATTTCCAATTTAGCACTTGAAATTTCCTTGATCCTAAATTCATGACCAAGGAAAAAATTTAAACAACTCAAATGTGTGCCGAAGGAGTAGCTAGCTAAACTGCATTAGTACATTGGGAAACTGAAGAATACCGAATCAACACTTTGGAAAACTGTGGCGTAACCATCAGATGCCCCATGAAACCCAGACATGGAAAAACAGGTGACTATACACTGCTAAGGAGATGTTACTCTTACTGGGTTCAACACACACTGGACGCCCAATTTAAAATTTCTTATCTGAAGCTGCTTGAGTCCCCCCCCACCCCCCACCAATCACACTCCTGAAAGAAGGGACAACTACTGCTGAGCTGCACCCACAGCCCCTTTAAACTTGACTTTTGCTTTTCATTTTGAGAAAGGGTCTCACAGAGATGCCCAGCTGCCCTCAAACTCATCAGTCTCCAGAGTAGCTGCATCACAGCTACGCACAACTACGTTTGTCTTTCTTCTTCTTTTTCATTTTAGTTATGAGCACTATTTGTTTTTCATTTTCTTTCTTAAGAAAGAGTAACTTTCAGTTCCTACAGAGCCCAAGATTATTTCTCACACTCGTCAGGCTCACACAAATCAGATACTGTGGTGAGTTCATACTCCACTCCATGTGCCACTGATTTCATTTCCTGGCAGTGATACGAATTTTGGAAGAAGAAGAAGAAGAAGAAGAAAAGCTCAACCTAAATTCAACCTAAAAGGCAAGTTTAATGCCTGTCTAAAATGTGGGTACTTTACATGATTTTATTCTTAACCACACAGTGATTCAGAAAAGGGGGGATTTCTGCCTAAAGTTAGTGTACTTCTCTTAAAAAAAAAAAATGCAGTTGACCTATTTAGATGGTTCTGTTTCCTTTGCCAGGGTTTTGACAAAGCCACTAACTGTGAAAGTAAACACAAAATTTTTTTCCTCAGTTTATTCCAGTTGAGATTTACATGCTGAAAAATTTTAAAGTAGACGTATAAATGACTGAGTAGCTGAGTTAAATAGTTTTAGCTAAACAGTCCCTACTTGATTTCTTCCTAGTGACTCTGACCCCTGCTGGATACAGAAATGGCTAGCAATTTTACTACGGCCCTGGCAACTTCTCAGGGCAACAACTGTGACCTCTATGCACACCACAACACAGCCAGGATATTAATGCCTTTGCACTACAGCCTCGTCTTCATCATTGGTCTGGTGGGAAACCTGTTGGCCTTGGTTGTCATTGTTCAAAACAGAAAGAAAATCAACTCAACCACTCTCTATTCAATGAACTTGGTGATTTCCGACATCCTGTTTACCACAGCTTTACCCACTCGGATAGCCTACTATGCGCTGGGTTTTGACTGGAGGGTCGGTGATGCCCTGTGCCGGATAACTGCCCTGCTGTTCTACATAAACACGTATGCCGGCGTCAACTTCATGACCTGCCTGAGCGTAGACCGCTTCTTTGCCGTGGTGCACCCTCTGCGCTACAACAAGATTAAAAGGATCGAATACGCAAAGGGCGTTTGCATATCTGTCTGGATTCTAGTATTTGCTCAAACCCTGCCTCTGCTCATCAGACCTATGTCAAAGCAGGAGGCCAGCAGGACGACCTGCATGGAGTACCCGAACTTCGAAGAGACAGCTTCCCTCCCCTGGATTCTCCTTGGAGCATGCCTGCTTGGCTACGCGCTGCCCCTCACAGTCATTCTCGTCTGCTACTCGCGGATCTGCTGCAAGCTCTTCAAGACGGCCAAACAAAACCCACTGACTGACAAGTCTGGTGTGAACAGAAAGGCTCTCAACACCATTATCCTCATCATTGTTGTGTTCATTCTCTGCTTCACACCTTACCACATATCCATCATCCAACACATGGTTAAGAAGCTGTGCTCCCGCGGTGCCCTGGCGTGCGGCCCGAGGCACTCCTTCCAGGTCTCTCTGCACGTCACAGTGTGCCTCATGAACTTCAACTGCTGCATGGATCCTTTCATATACTTGTTTGCGTGCAAAGGGTACAAGAGGAAGGTCATGAAGATGCTGAAACGGCAGGTCAGCGTGTCCCTCTCCAGTGCCGTGAGGTCAGCCCCTGAAGAAAACTCGCGAGAAATGACGGAGTCCCAGGTGATGATTCACTCCAAGGCTTCCAATGGAAGGTGAAAGATCGCGGCACCGGACTTCACAGCACAGCAACCCGCTTGGTGGCTCTGCAGACCCACTGTTCAGTTCCCAACAAGGATTCCTCTCAGGAGCCCCCTCTTGGCCCCGCC